TATATACATATATATATATATATATATATATAGATCTTTTCCGAATTACTATATATATATATATATATATATATATATATATATATATATATATATTTCTATATATTTATATATATAGATATCTGTATGATTTCGTTTTTCTGATATTTACTTTGACAGTGATTATGATGATCATTATCATGTATGATTTTATTGTTATTGTTCAGGCCTCTAAAATAATATCAACGTGATCGAGGTACTGACTTTTGTATAGAGAGATACGACAATGAAAACAAAAACAGGAAAACGACCCTTTCTAAGCAAATTGTAAGAACAGAGGGGACGCAATAGACGTCAGTCGCCAAGTCGGGCAGGCCTCCTTCAAGTCGATTTATTTTGCTCAACTTGCCCGTCATCCCTATGTCCATATTAAAACCATTCGTGTAAACACACGACAAACATACACACACACACACCTCCACCATTAAATCATATCTTTGTATCAGTAAAAAATGAACCCCGCTAAAAAAAGAATTTATTTGGTTTTTCTTCTTGGCTTTCTGATTCAGTTTCTTTTATCGTTTTTGTTCTGGACCTTATTTAATAATGTAAATGTATGCTAATAATACAAATGGCTCGTATTTATCTAGGGTAGAAACAACTCGGTAAAAAGAGTAGTCGTACGATTTGTATCTTGCACCTGAGTGGTTCGCGCGTTTCACTTGTAGCCTAAATTAATACCCATTAATTATACTCTATTGGGTCCTGCTTAGCACAGTATCTCGTTGCTGATCGCTCTTTGTCTGTGTATTATATTTACTAAGATATAATAATAGTTCGTACATTTCAACATCTTCGATGCTAGATATTAATTGGTGTACTTATTACACCTACATATAAAAAGTTACCTGTGTATATAATATTTTCAGAGATCGGTGAGGAGAATACCATCATTTTATGTCACTACCCTATTGTCATGATTGTTATTTCCAGGCCGGTGTCATTGGAAGGTTGAATATAAAGTCGTTGTTGTATTGTCTTTGCGATATGTGCCCACATGGTTTTCATCAATGTGTTCGGCCGCATCATTGATTTATAATATCAATGATAATGTTTTTTCATTGGCGCTGCCTATGGATATGGTACATACCGGGCTCTCGTTGCATAGCATCCTGTCAAATGCGTACACTTGTCAATTATTGCTCTTTATTTTCTTATATGTTAATAAGCTTATCTTCTGTGGAGTGCAGTATGTAGAACTTTAGGCGCGAAAATCACAATATGTTTAATCCGAACCTTCAGTATGTCAGGAGAGGCATTTTCCCGCACGTTGCCGCTTTGTTAGCAATAACTCTGAATACTATTATCGCTACTATGAAGTTGGTTTGATCGACTTTGTGTGTTGTGGTCATCAGTTTGGCGTAATTGGCATTTATCTTTGTTGTAAAGTTCAGGCCTAATATAAAAAATAGACAGTCTAGAAAACTCCCTTCCGAATGAAAAAGAACTGAAGTCTCTAAGAGATTCATGTCATCTTTACCGAAGTGCAATTGACACTTGTTTATGCTCTTCGCTCTAGACCCTTCAAACGAATCTAAAATTGGAGTTGTTGGCTTCACCTCTCTCCATTAATCACCAAACTTCTTTAAAATCGTAGAAAACAAAAAAACGACACTGATTCGGTCGTAT